TATCTTTTGTAGATTTCAATAGGGTCCCTATTATCACCTGGAATTGAATACATTCGGGGACTGACTTTCCTTACATCACATACATTTTCGCCATTCCTGGTTTTAGTTTGGCGTTCATTGATTTCTAAATACTCTAGACCCTCTGATGTTTTGCCAAGTTTGATATCTCCCCATCTGAAAATAATATAAAATGTAATGGGTTAACTAATTAATACAATATACAATACAAATACTTTTATTGCAAATAAAACATTATTACAATGTTTATAGCAAAAACAAAACATATATACACATTGAATTTCATGAAAATGAGATCTGACATGGAATGAAAACATAATAATAACACTATTTCCTGAAAGGTCTTAAAATACTTAGGAAATAGCAGGTTGCACAAAATGTCTTAAATATGATATTGATACTACATCTAGATGTTAATATAATATTAATTAATACTACATCATCAAGATATTCTCTCTTTATTTGCAAAATATAAAAACTTCGAAAGGTTGTATAGCTCTATTTTCGATTTAGAATTTAATAAAGACTCAAATTTATTAATTGTCGGCCACCTACAGAAATATCCCTTTAAAAACTTTTTTTCTAAGCTCTCTAAATCAAGGACACACCATCAAAAAGTGAAACTCTGTTTCAACTCTGTTCATGTTACAGGACTTACATAACCGTTGCACTCGCGGAATATTCGTATATCTTCCGGATTCTATAAATAGCTTATGTGCAGATACCCGAAATTTTGATAAAGTTGTCATATATTTTCTATCTTGTATACAATCAATATATGTCTCGCGTTCAAAAGTGTGTTTAAGTCGATTTTATCGAAACACTGCTCGTAATCGATGAAAATACAGTAGAGTTTTTGCTTGAAATTTAGTATCTTAGATATGACGGCGTTTAATATAAAGATACAGTCAGCGATAGATTTTCCTTTTTGAAAACCAAAATGGTTGTTTGACAAGTTATCATGTTCTTTCGACCATTTACTCAAACGATTCAGTAATATTTGCGAGTATATTTTCGCTATTATATTAATCAGTGTTATCCCGCGATAGTTCTTAGCAACGTTTATATCACCCTTTTTAAATACAGGGGTTATAATTCCTTGTCCCCATTCGGTGGGATATTCGTGGTCATTAAAAATCTTGTTGTATAATTTATTGAGAAAGGGAGAGATTATGTCAAATGTCGATTTAAACATTTCAGCGGGAAGATTATCCTGGAGCTTTGTTACTATTCTGCATGAAAACAGCGTCACGGATTTCTGCATTAGATATTTCCAAATCCAACGAAATATTATTAGAATTCGAATTTTCGGGGATATGTTGGTCGTAATCGTTTGTGAAACCGCCGCCGAACATTTCTTGGAAATGTCTTTTTAGCTCATCAATTGTCAGAGAGCTTGCGATTGGAGTTTTCTTTTTATATGACTTCTTAATAGATTTCCAAAAGTCACGCGGTTGAAAAGACGCCAAGCTACTAATTCTACGACCTTCTTGTATTCTATAATTACGACGCGCTTTTCTTTTTTACTCTCTCGCGCTAACATAGGCGCAACGGTTATCGTTGTTTTTATTTCTGTTATAAATATTTCGGCATGCACTAAACGTTCGTTTGGCTGTAAAACAGCTGTCATCAAACCATTTTTTATTTGAGAAGTCACATTTAGTTTTGTTTACAGTAACTCGTTGTGTTTTCCCGAACACATCGTATGTTTGCGTTTTCATGAAACTACAAAATTCCTTTACTGTACAGTCAATCGGTTGAGTGCACATTTCATTCGTAAGGCGGCTAAGTATGTCATGATTATTCATGAGTTTATCACGGAACAGCGGTATTTTACCTGTATCCCAGACAATTCGATTAATTTCATTACCTGAATTAATTTCCTTATTTTTGTCAATATTTGTGTGAACGATTCTGAATTCGAAAGATATACAAGCATGATCCGAAAATTCATTAAAATCATGAACCGCAAAAATTAAAAACATTATCAAAATCTTGGTATTTCAATAACAGGTCAACATAACCTGCACCTAGTCGGGAGGTAAAAGTAACAGCCCCGATACCTAAATCACTGTCAAGCCTACCATTGGCTATCAAATAGTTTGTGGCAATGCACATTGCTAGCAAACTCCGCCCACTATGATCTAGCACGTGGTCTTGACTTATTCTAAGCGGGATAGATGTAATGTCAATAAATGACTGATCACTATCTAAATATTTATCAAAAGTCAAAAAATCACAGCTATCGCTGGAACGAGCATTAAAGTCTCCAGAAATGAAGACTTTACCTAACAATTCGTACTTTAAAATACCCTTTTCTACCTCGTCATAAAAATCAAAATCATTAGTTTTTAAAATTTTGGAATCTGACGGGGGTATGTAAACATGGCAAATATAAACATCTGTTTTAAAATTAAACAACTGACCTGATATTCTTATCCATAATATTCCGTTATCAATACTTTCAACTATTGAAACATATTTTGCTATTTCAGTCTTAAAATACACAGATATTCCACCACTAAAACGTCCTCTAGAAATTTGTTTAACCTTAGTTCCATATACAGTCAACTATCGTTATCTCGACATCGCTTTCTCGATATTTCGTTATCTCGATGAAATTTTGAAAGTCCCGATTCAATTCCTGGACGGTCCCGATGACTTCGAGATAACGAGAGTCGACTGTATATGATATCCCTTATAACCAGTAATATCTAAATTTAATGTTTCTTTCTTAGAAATCCAAGTTTCATTTAAGAAAAACAAATCAAATGAATCGATAAATTCTATAAAGTCACTGTCTGTAATATTCCGTTTAAGTCCATTTGTATTCCAAAATGCAACCTTAAGTGATTCCCTTTCATGACTTCCCTAATTTGTGGTTGGTAGTTTGAATTCCTCACCGTCGATGAAGAGTTTGGAACCAACAAATTTCACTGTTTTGTTGGCTTTTTTGGCGTCGTTCATAGCCGGGTATAAAGGTTTCCTTGCCTCTCTAATTCGTTTTGGCAGCTGGGCTCCTACGCCATATCCCAAGACTTTTAATGCGGTGTTCTTGTTGAAGGCAGACTTTCGAACGAGCTCGTGTTCCTTAGGGTAGTGAAACTTCACTACAATGGGTCTTACTTTTTTGTTGTGCTGCGGCCCAATTCGGTGTGCACGATCGATTGTCACATTGTCCGAAATATCCAGAATGTCCGAGATAATAGATTTCACCAGGGTTTCACTGTCCTCATTTTTGCCCTTTTCACATTTTGCTATGCCATAGAATAGTAAGTTATCCCTCATATCTCTCATTTCTAGTTCCGAAAGTTTATCGTCGAGATCCATTTCTTTTTCAAATAATTTTTTCGAATTGTGCTCAAATTCTTAATCTCCGATTTTGCGAATTTAAGCTCGTCTCGGTGCCTGTCAAATTCCGTTGTCAGGAAACTACATGATTTCTCTGCTTTAGTCACTCTTAGGTCAGTCATTTTGAGACTTTCTTCCATGTCGGTGACCTTAACATTTATAACATTCACGGTTTTATCTACTGTGGTTAAATTGTCCTTGATAAGTTTCACTTCTTCTAATATTTCACATGCCTTACGGAGGCGGCTGTACCGGCTGTACCGGGTTACTAAAACCGGTTGGGGTTGTGTTCATAAGTCCTACAAAACCTCCGTGTTGAGAATAAGGAGAAAAAGACATACCACAGCTTGTGTAATCCTCGAAGTTAAACCGCTTGTTAGTAGTATTCGTGTAGTCCGATTCACGATTTACCTGACTGATTTCACTTGTTTTTTTACACGTGGCAAAGGTGATATAACTTTTCGCTTATTTTTCTTCTTTTTTCCTGCACTATTTTGTCTATTTGCTATTCCAGACATAAATAATAATGTTTATACACTGGATTAGAACAAAAATTCCAAGAAGCGCTCTATATTTCACGTAAATAATTAATTTTTAATCAGAGCTAAAAAATCCATGTCCATCTCAAAATCATGACCTTGACCTTAAAAATTAAAAGAGTTATATTTTATTTACGTATTTTTTTTTAGAAATTGAAAATTTGTATTATAAGAATAAACTTCAGATGCTTTGTTGAAACAAATATTTACTTGGTATGTTAAATTAAGATTAGAAACAAATGGAAGGGACAAGAAAATTTATTTATAAAATAAAAACACTTAATGCTGCTAGCATTTTTTACACTTTTGGGACAGACTCTGGTCATCCATGGGACTTTTTGATTGGAAACGGTCAAATAATAAGTGTTTAGACATTCATTATAATGTAATATTTTGATGAAAATAGATGATTTTATTGCGAATTTTCATGTTAGTAATACGTAAATATATTACATATAATTACTTCTTTTGAAGCCTGTTGTTATTATTGAATATTTTAGTATAAATTGAAAGAGATTTATTTTGTCCCTAGATTATGTTTTAGCATATTAATAATATTTTTTAAATATTTGACTTTAACATTGGTAATATTCTATATTCTTTGGTTTATAGAGCTGACATCGATAGTGATGTTGATATTTTTCTGTCAATTAGTCATTGATACTAACATCTTGTTTCCAATTATAGTACATTTTTATAGTTCCAATGAGTGCCTTTTTGTAAAAAAGCAAGACCCCGGGGTGTTAAATAGAGATAATACGGTATTTGAAAAATCAATAATTTTAATTAATTAATTAAATGTTTGCAAATTATGAAAATTCACCTGAATCATATAAAAAAGCAGGTGACCAAAGTATTTTTTTTATTTGAATTATATGAAGTAATAATGATAATTAAACAAACATTCCAACCTGAGATTATATTGCTCTGTTGTCCCTCTAATTCCAAAATGAAGGAAATTATTCCACCAAACAGTGTTGAGTAATGCTGTTGGTGTCATGGCACCAAGAACACCTTTGATATACATTTGATCGACTTCTTTGTCGGAGAGTGACGATGCAACCCGTGGTTTATTGCCTTTTCCCAACTTTTTTAGAATTTTTGTTTGGCCTTTAAGGCATCTCTTGTCAAAGAAAATTGTGGGCCTTTTCCTCTCATTATGAGAAATGGATATTTATTTCTCTGCAGTTTTCGGTCAATACTACTGATATTGTTACGTAAAGAACTTGGTTCATATTCGGTACCATCTGCTTTCTTTATAGACAAAATAAAGTTTGCTAAATATGAGTCATGTTGGTCAATGGTAATCTCATGAATCTCTCTTTTTTCACCTTTTGTTTTCAGAAATCTTCTGAACTTATTTATGTCAGTTAGAGTTTTTCTCATGGTATTTTTGTTATCTTGCTCTTCAATGAACTTGTTAACATCATTTGAGGATAAATTCAAACATTCTGATGTTTCAGGAGGCTGTTCAATTGAAGTCGGCAATTCAAGTTGGTTTGCAGCAACAGAAATGGACAACAAAGGAGCACTCTCAGAAAGGCTGGTTTCAACAAGGCTGGGTGGTGGTGTTGGCTCCATTTCATTATCAAAATCAGTAAATTTCAGACTGTATTTATTCAGGAAATCATCAGGATCAATTTCTTCAACATATTGTGTTTTAAGCTGATCCCAAATTAAGTCAAATGTGGTTTGACTCAAATAATCAGACATTTTTGAATGAATGAACTGCACAGATCTGGATTTCATAAGAATAGCAGAAGACAAGCTGATAAATTCTCTCCTTATTATTATTATTTTATATATTTTTATAAAAGGACTAAAACATTTTTTTTTAATTTATTAAAAAGTGTGAAGCAATACAACAAAATAAAAATATAACAGTAAACATTTTTTTTTTGTATTTTTAATATGCTTTATTTTCATCGTATCAAGATATGTAGTATTTGTAGTGTCTATTGTAAACAATAGACCGGAAATGACCCGAAAAAAGTAGTTCCGTCAAGGTCAAACTGTGTATTGACGAGGTGTCTGATAAAGCTTAGGGTGACTTATAAAGCTAGGTTTATCAGGCATGCACTTTATCAAGAGAAATCAATGGAATGACATGATAAAACTTTTTTTAAACATGTTTACAAACATGATATTTGTTATGGAAAAACATTACTTTTCAGCATCGAGTGGTGCTTGTTATTTATAAATCTTTGATAGATATAATCTTATATCATAAAAAATTGTTTTCATTTTAGGAAAAAACAAAATCCATAGATAAACATTTTTATATACACCTTTATTTGTATTGGGACGTTTCAAAACCTAATTTGGTACTAATTTTACGACCTTTGACCCTTATTGCAATTTTTTTTGTATTTTGTAGTAAATACATATCGTATTTGCTTGATGACATAACTTTCTTATGATTTTGCTAGTTCTTATGAGGCAGCTGAAGTTCAAATCAAAGTCATGAACCAGATCTGTACATATATCTTGATTGAAAATTGTTTTCCTGGAGCTGACAAGGCTAAAAATGGAATGGAAGAGACACATGATAGAAAACAGACCGAGATAAACGGACACCGACAGAGAGCATAACCTTGGGGTTGTAGTCGGAACGGAGCTTATACTTGAAATGGAAGCAACAGCAATAAGAGCAATCAAAAACAGCTTTCGGCAAACAGAGGGAGACGATCTTTATGACAAAAGAGAAAATAGCGATGGGCAGCCCTTGACCTATCACATATTTTATAAAATATTTTTTGTTTTGCTGTCATCGAGAAGATTTTTTGTTAATTAGCGCCAGGAGAGTTTCATTTTATCAAAATGCTTTCAATCAATCGTATTTCAATATTGCAGCCAAAAATTATGCAGCTTTCAATCAACATCTGGGAATAACTTAAGTAATTGATTGATTGCAAGAAAACACTTCTTTAAATGGTATCAGAACTTTTACATTTATTCTTATTTAACAGTTTGCAATTCATAGGTTTATACAAATAAAAAACAATATATTAAAGAGAACATTGACACTACATTGTGTGATTTTGAACAAAACGAAAAGTTGCCCACTATACAAATTAGTCCAGAATAAGATATTTAAAACTAAATGCTCTGAAATTTATTATTTATGAGGCTTACTAGTAAGTCGACGTGGTTAAAGCGACATCCTAGTATTTCTGATAAACTTACACTACAGTAATTGGTGTATACATAATTTGTATTAGTTCGATTGCTATAAGCTTATAGGCACACTCTGAAAACCGTTCCTGAAACCAAACAGTACAGAGCAATATGTGTAAAGTTTCTTGTTTCATGTGTTTTCTGTGTGACGGAGGAAATGCTTCATATCAGTTTACACTCATTATCGTGAGTTATCGTGATCTGTACAAAAATTGCGTCAAACCGATGACATACCCGGAACAATGCAACTTCGATAAATATAGTCTTAAATAGATTACATTCTGATTAATGATTTTCTTACAAACGATTCTGTCATTATACTGTACTCTTATGTTATTCTTGAAATATTTATTTCGTATAAAACACCGTTACACCCGATAGTTTTATCAGATAATATATAAACTGCATCGCAAATGACTTTGAAGCTGTGATATTTGTCGCGATATAATAATTATATAGCGAACATTAATAATGAAATAAACAAAAATCGACAAATTTGAAAATAATACCACGATTATCTCAGAGATATGACTTGTACGACACTGTGGTGTTCTCACTTATTAACTTAATACGCTTGTAAATAAAATCCACTGCATCGTGAAATGCTATAAATAACAATTATTCAAATCGAAGCAACGCTTTTCAAAGACAGTTATTGTTGCATATTCAAAACAAAACTCAGAAAAAAGCTAACTGGTGTTATCACATTTAACTTGAAATATTACCTGTATATAATTATATTATAGCTTGTTGGCATGCAAAACAAGTGTAAGTCATAAACTGTTCTAAGGCCCCTTGTACTATCAATATGTCCTTAAAATATGGTTTCACTCATCGTTGCTGTAAACGATGTGCTTTAACAGATATTTACTGGAGTGCATTATTTTTATTATTTAGCATATAAAACACATTTTACAGTAGATTACATATGCAATAGTATCATGCAGTATTTATTGAATAAAGTTAGAATGGTCTTAGACAGACACACATAAATCAGAGCTATTTAGCTTATTTATTGTTTCGAATTATTGATCTGAGACATTTGAATATTCAATGACCTTTTGTCTGTGATATATCTCTTGACTTACTAGCCTCGGTGGCAAGGTGTAAGACTTTCAGTTAATTGTAAGTTTTTATAATGATTTTTTTTTAATTTTTTGTATTATAGTTTTCAAAATTTGAACACTGTGTTTTATGCATGCGAGTTAACATACCAAAATTAATGAAATGAAAATAGTATGTACTTATCAAACTAATGAACTTGAAAAAAAATGCTAGAAATGAAACACATACTACAATAACTATGGTTTCGTAAACGTGGTCACAATTCCGTCGTTCTTACTGCTAGACTATCAAGCGGTATTTATTAATATAAATTGTAAGCGTAAATCAACACAAATTACGGTAACTTACATAACACCTCCCGAAAATCAACGTGTATCAGGTCAATATTGCGAAACAATAATCACTTTTTGTTTTCAAAACCATTAAAGAAAATATAATATGCTTCTATCACACTTCATAAATAAGCTAAATATTTATCTATGAATCACAATTACGAGATTAGAAAACATGTCATAAACACGCAGCAATTATTTTATTAAGTATGATTTCGACATGTGCGTGTGTATATTTTTTAAACAGTTGCAATGAGTTCAATATTTTATACATATTGCTATGCAACTTAAAATGTTTGGAAACAAACAAATTGTAGTATTGTCTACGTTTTAACCTAATAAGAATATTATCTTAAGATATTATACAGACAATTTATTGCAACAGGTCATTTTATATCTTTCTTATTGACACATCATAAGTCAGCAGTCACGCCGAGACAAATAGCTTAGTTGGCGGCAACAGCAAAGGAGAAGGCAAATTGTTGTTGTATAAATCTATCAGTCACAGCTTGATTGTTGAGATATCTTTACGGAAATATCTTACAGACTAGACAGGGAAAGTTTACTGTAGATAAATATAAAATGAAACATAGCAAATATTTGTTACTTGATAATGATTGAAACAAAAAAACTTATTGTGCAATACTTAAGAAAAATCCTTTGAATAATTTGTACATTATGTCAAGTTTTCTTATCATTATTTAAGAACTGAAAAGGTTGCTGTCATAAGATTTTGTCACATTGAAAGTATAATTATATAAAACATTGTATGGCGTAGATACCTAAAGTATACAATAAAGCAAACAGGCATTATGTGACTCATTACAAGGATGAACACACGGAAAACTCGTTAATGATGGCAACTTAGATACAACTTCTAAGAACCCGATAAATACTAGTTTTTGTAATTTGAAATGTTTTAATTTTCATGAAGCACTTTGCAAAAATAAGGTACAGAATTTCAGATGAGAAATGAGTACAGCTTTAGAATGCGTAGGCAACAAACTTGAAAGATAAACTGTTACAGAAAAACTACAAAAAGTAGGTGTGCATACAAGAACAATATCAGATAGTTAGTCGTTTTAGGTTTTTAATAGTATCATATCGAAATGTTAGTTTGGTAGATAGATGATAATGTATTAAGATAATAAAAGATTATTAAAGTTTTTCGTATGAAAAAACAATATAATGGATAACCGGAAAACGTTTAGATTTAGATGTCTTTTGCAAAGGTATTTATCCGTTATCCTGCTTTAAATATTCATACCTTATGTTTGGAAATTGAACTATTGTTCCGCCTTTATGGCTAAACATGTCAATTTCATTTCTTATTTATTCTTAAATGTTAAATAATGGTCTGTGAAATAATAGAAAATTTATGTTTTATATTTCTTTCGTATTGCATTTTTGTTTGGAAAAGCATTTTACAGCAATTTTCATCGCCATTATCTGAATATTCGAAATGATTTAATTAATAATGAAGTCGCAAGAAAAAGCATTCTCTTATAAGCATAATTGCCCTTACTTTAAAGAATCATTTAAACTACGTACAGAAAAATGTGATCGTAATCTTAGTATGTGATTTGAAAATCAACCTGCCCCAAATAAAAGTCATAAATAGGAGTCTAAAGTTCACTTGAAAATCAATTCCTACCTTTTTCGTAATGTTTTTGTTCAATTCAAGAATCGCTAGGTTAGATATAAAACATGTATTAAAATAATTGGTCGGTCAAACCAAATAACATGATAACAATCGATGGTTGTTAATTCTAGAAGAGTTCATGGTCTATATGCAATACATTGAAGGTTATTGGAGACTAGTGCAACAAGGAAAATAAACAAAATCATTGCATAGTATCTCATTACGAAATTCAATTACCAGATGTTCAGAAATGCACAAGTTCAATTTACTTGTTAAACAAAAATAAAACGATAAGCGCTAATGAATACAAATTTCAATTGCTTCTTATATGTTACTGCAAATTCTGGTTGAAAGATAACATTATCTCACCACCACACCAATTTATCAATAGGAAACACAAAGCATTATAAATTGATTTAATCAAATATTTTTTTCTTTCAGCTTTGAAAAATGTCTGTATTGCAAGACGAGGTAGAACACTGAAGACAAGGAACTGG